AGTAATAAAATGTGGATGGTGGGAATAGTAATAATAATAAAAATAATAATAGTGAACTTACATATTAAAAGAGAGGAGCAGAATTATAGTGAGAAATTTACTCTGGCCATGGTAGGGCTAGAGAATGTATGTATCGTTTTTGTATGCACAAGTCCGGTTTTAGGTCTCGAATAGCTAATGCCTCAGCTATGTACAGATGTCGTATCCGCAGTCCTTTTGTACGATATTGAGGGACTCTGTGTACCACTGTGAAGCATTCGTGTGGGGGTGCTCGATGTCCGGAGATAACAAGGTGTTCGAGGGTTGAGCTGTTGCTATTCTTCTTTTCTCCTCTGGCTAACCAAGCTGGTCAGTGTTCCAGGATACGTTTGTGGACTTGACGTTGCGTACGGCCGATATACTTTGCTCCACACGAGCAAGTGAATTGATAAATACACATTGAAGTGGCCAAAGGCGGTATCTTGTCCTTAACGTTAGACTGGATTAACTGTCTGCAGGAGAATGTTATACTTAGAGTGGCTATTGGGAATGTCTTCTTCAGACTTTTTGAAAGGCGGTTTCTGAGAATTTCCGCTGCGATGTCACCTTTGAATTCTAGGTTCATGAAGAGGATTTTCTTAGGTGCCGGTTTGATATTTGACTCCGGGGCTTCTCCTTTATGTTTTTGTCGACGAATCTTGGCGGATACTTATTCTCTAGTAGGGTTTCACGCAATAAATTTAATTCTTTCTCCACCGCGTCTTTGGAGCTTATTTTTCTTGTTAATGAGCACAGTGTACGTATCAAGTTTCTCTGGCAAATTTAAACTTTCGACATCACTAACAACCAATCAGCAAACGGCCTTGAATGGATCAATCATATTAAATATGCATATATGATGAATGGAAACGTATATTTATAGAAGAAAGCATAAAAAATGATAAAAAGGTTACAAGGGGTATCTTTCTCGAACATGTGAGAAAAACATCTCCCAGTTTAGCATAAGACTGTGAATGGAGAAGTCACACCACATCGTGTACTTATATTCACCTGAATGCCGGTAAATGAGATCCTTTTGAGATCCATTTATAGCCCTTATCCTGTTTTTCAAGCGGCCCCAAAAACCTTCAATGGAATTCTCATGAGTCCTCGTAACGGGATCCACCCAGCAAACAAGTGATTTTCCCTATTTTACTTGAAGCAATATCTCTGCAATGCTGGTACCACCAAACTGTTGAGACGAGGCTATTCTCAGTCTCGGCAGCTGCTGCTCTCACCGGCTGTTTCAACACCCAGTAGCAGCAGATGTACAAACTCTAGGTTAGGGAGAGATGTGACCTAGGGAAAAAAGTTCCTACGAAATATTAAAATTTTCAGCTTATCCGCTCTAATGTTAGCACGCTTCAAACACATAGCACAACGATGAACAAACCCATCAGTTGATCTGTTATAGCTTTTTAAAGTCATGATGCCAACAGACGAACAAGTTCGCTCCTTCCGGAGCAACCCTAAATCCAGGCAATACTGGAAAACACTGTACTCCTCGAATTGCAGCCGTAATCTTGTAAGGTCACGCATTAGAAAAGAATCAAGCGCTCTACAGCATCGAACTGCGTTCGTGAATCTCATTGGATAAATCGACGTCGTTCGTGAATCCCATTGGATAATTCGCCGATTGGTAGTTAGTGGTGTCGAAAGTTTGTAGCGGTAAATAATTCCCCAAAATTATTGACCACAGCAATCACTCATTGGATGCTGACCACCACTGTTTAAGTCGACTTGTTTAGCTGAAGGCTTCCGGTCAAGCATCCCCGCCATTTGGTACCTCGTCGTGTCACGTGCACGATCACTAGCTAGCTAAGCGTTCGTCTAACGGCTGGTTTTGGTTCGTAAATACATTTCTTCGTTTGGACGACCAATTGTTGGCTTTTGCTTTGTCTTTGGTACGCGAGAATAAATTAATTAGAAGTTGTTGAACGAGATATCACGTCAAACCTTTAATATCTCTCAACCCTAAACTGGTGAGCCCAACCGCGAACTTCACCCACGATAAATCCGCCCACCTTTAAACTGGTGAGCCCAACCGCGAACTTCATCTACGACAATTACTCAGATAATCCCGGTGAGTTCGTTCCATTTTGTATTTGTTCTTGTACCATATATTATTCGACATAATTTTCGTCATGAGTGATCTTAGTCCCAAGGTCATCCGTATCCGCTCAACTCCTAAAACCATTCAGCTCGTACCATACTGGCCAGATAATGCTGAAACGTGGTTTCTGCTAGCTGAAGCAGATTTTTGTGAGCATGGGATAACTGATCAACGTTCACAGTTACTTGCAGTTATTCACGCCCTACCGCGGGAATTCAGCAAGTACGTAACATCACAGATGTTGAGTCCCGAGGTAAGTAACTCGTACGAGTTGCTGAAAGCATCCCTCCTCAGGAGAAACGCTCTCACGGACAGACAACGTCTAGATGAATTATTTCGCAACATCGAGTTAGGAGATCAGTCAGCCGTGAGCATGCTGACAAGAATGAAACAAGTCGTCGGCCAATGTCAGTTCGACGAAGGACTGTTTAGAGAACTCTTCTTAACCAAGTTGCCACAATCTGTACAGACCGTACTTGTGACACTTGAGGGTACTGTAATAGAGAACTTAGCTATTACTGCAGATAAGATCCTAGAAATAACTAAACGGTCTGTCCCCGAAATATGCTCAATGACTAAGCAGACTTCGAGTGAGGATCCTGCAATGACAGAGTTATGCAACTCCCTTCAGCAGATGTTTAGGTCAAACACACATTCTAAATCCTCCAACCGTCGTCCTAAATCTCCTCAACGCAGGAACTCGCGTGGTCGATCTAAGTCCAAACCACGTTCACTGAAAAACCCTGACTGGTGCTGGTACCACAACACCTATGGCCAAGAAGCGAAGTGTTGCCGTAAGCCTTGTAACTTCGGAAATGTCTCAAAGTCTGCGGGAAACTATCCCGCCGGCACGCGTTAGCGGCAACCGTCGCCGGTGGCACTAGCCGCCTACTTTACATCCATGATGTGATAAGCCAGACTCGATACTTAGTCGACACAGGCGCCGAAGTCAGCGTCCTTCCTGCTACAGCAGCAGATCGACAGAAGGAACCTACCTTCAACTTACAGGCTGCAAATGGAAAACCAATCGCAACCTTTGGTAGGAAATACGTCTATCTGAACGTAGGTTTACGCAAACCTATTCGGTGGATTTTCCTTCTCGCTGACGTTACAATGCCCATCATTGGCACGGACCTACTTAATCATCATGATTTACTCGTAGACGTCCGCCGAAAACGACTGATTGACAATACTACTAGTCTGTCTATCAAAGGCATCAGCTACATAGGCCCTAGCTTGTCACCCGTTAAGATAAAGGCAATTCTTGATCCAACTTTTCAACCTATCGTTGACAAGTATCCGGAACTTAACTGCCCGTCGAACGACCTACCGTGCATAACCAGCAATGTTATGCACCACATCATTACCACAGGACAACCTGTGACATCTAAAGCACGACGATTAGCTCCTGACAAACTGAGAATCGCCAGGAATGAATTTGACCATATGCTTAGCCTTGGCATCATTCGACCTTCGAATAGCCCATGGGCATCCCCACTTCATATGGTTCCGAAAAAGGATAGCAACGATTGGCGACCCACCGGTGATTACCGGCGAGTGAATGCCAAAACAACCCCTGATTGCTACCCGTTGCCTCATATACACGACTTGACGGCAACCTTATCCGGCGCGACTATATTCTCCAAAATCGACTTGGTTAAAGCGTATAACCAAATCCCGATGGCAACAGAAGACATCCCGAAAACGGCTATCATTACGCCTTTCGGACTTTTTGAATTTCTACGTATGCCATTCGGTCTTCGGAATGCAGCCCAAACATTCCAACGCTTCATCGACGAAGTATTTCGCGGTCTCGACTTTGTATACGCATACTTAGACGACTGCCTCATTGCCAGTCCAGACAAGGAAACTCACCTTAGGCACTTGGACTTGGCATTTGACAGGTTACGCCAACATGGTGTTACCATTAATATTCAAAAGTGTCAAATCGGTGTTGACTCACTCGACTTCCTGGGTCACACTATTGACTGCAAGGGCATTCGCCCACTGGCTACTAAGGTTGAGCCTCCTAAGAAAAACCGTTCTGGACGCACCGTAAGGTTCCCAGAACACTTGCACACTTATTTGACTTAACGAAGTCGTGTGATTCACGCAACTCACTCGTTTGTGGTACTATTTTTTTTTGACGTATAAGTTTTTTTTATATACAGTACCACCGAACACAAAAAATTGTTTTTTCTCCACAGTTCATGTAACATACATAAAAAAATTAATTCGATGTATTTTTTTTCTCGATGTTCTGAACTTAGCAATAGTTTACTGTATAGTAAATGCACACAATTTTTTTTAACCAAAAAGATCATTTCGTACATTTTCCTCGACATGGTTCTTAGCGTTCTTGTTTTCTTTTCCAGGTGCGACGGGCACTGGACGGGAAACAAACGAAGCACGGAATCCAACGAACAACACCAGGAAGCTATGTACAAACACCCCATTAGCATAGGCAGACAAACCAGTAGGCATAAGACCAAGCCGCTCGGAAGATTTTTTTCACCCGAAAGGGAACCATCGAGTTTTTTTTACTTCCGGCTGGTTCTGTCTTAGGGTCCTCACGACCCCACTAGGGGGGAGTGAGCTGTAGCGGTAAATAATTCCCCAAAATTATTGACCACAGCAATCACTCATTGGATGCTGACCACCACTGTTTAAGTCGACTTGTTTAGCTGAAGGCTTCCGGTCAAGCATCCCCGCCATTTGGTACCTCGTCGTGTCACGTGCACGATCACTAGCTAGCTAAGCGTTCGTCTAACGGCTGGTTTTGGTTCGTAAATACATTTCTTCGTTTGGACGATCAATTGTTGGCTTTTGCTTTGTCTTTGGTACGCGAGAATAAATTAATTAGAAGTTGTTGAACGAGATATCACGTCAAACCTTTAATATCTCTCAACCCCTAAAAGTTTAACTTCGCCGTTTCTCTTTCGGGTCAGTGGAACAAAGCTCTGGAAGTCGATAAACTGTCCAGTCCATGTTGGATTAGGGTATATCGATCTTTGGATCGTACAGTCGTCTCTTCTGATGAGTAATACATCGAGGAATGGAAATGCTTTGTTCGATTCGCGTTCTAAGGTGAATCTTATTGATGGATGCGCTACGTTGAAGGTTTTCAGGAGAGAATCTAAATCACATTTTTCATCACAGATTATAAACGTATCACCTACGTATCTCTTGTATAAGTGCAGTTTACTTATCAAGGGATCAAGGATGTTGTTTTCAAGACTCGCCATGAAACAGTCAGCTAGGAGTGGACCGAGAGGAGACCCCATGGCTACTCCATCTTTCTGTACATAGAACTGTTCATTGAATTTGAACTGGATAATGAACGTGCATCTGAGAAGAAGTTCCTTCAGGTAGTTTATGGGGAGAGGAACTTCCACGTTGTTGGTTTCTATGTAATTACAAATGAAGCATATTGTCTCAGTCAGGGGGATACTTGTGAATAGGGAGGCGACATCTAGTGAGATCATTTGTCCTTCATACACGTTGACATCCTTCACTGAGTCAATGAAGTCAAAAGTATCTTTGAGGCTATATCTTGTCATATGTCTCTTAACTGGTTCGAGGATATCAGCTAGCCACTTCGCGATTTGGTGATACGGTGAGTTAACCATTTCTATGACCGGTCGAAGTGGAACATTCTCTTTATGCACTTTCGGCAGTCCATACAGTCTTGGAATAGTTGAACTACATGGTCTTATTTGCTCATAAACCTCCTGTGTTATGACTGAATCTTCTTTCATTCTCTTCAGCAATTTTGTGAGTAGGTTTTCTGTTCTTTCGGTTGTGTCTTTTTGGTTGGGTGATTCAAAGAATTTGGTTTTGTCTGATAGTATATTTGTCAATTTCTCATTATAATCGGATCTGTTCATCACTACAATCCCACTGCCCTTATCAGGACGGACAAGGATTACGTCTTTATTTTCTTGAAGTTGTTTAAGTTGTCTTCTGTGTTCTTTGGTTAGTAGGTAACGGTGGCTCGGTTGCGTACGAATGTACTTGTAACAGCTGTCAAGAATTGAAGCTTTGAATTGATCTAGGTCTTTTTCGGAAGTCGGTGACAAATCGGGTGTCTGTGACATTAAATTCTCAAACTGCACTTTAGTATATAATTCGTTGGTTTTACTCGATACATGGCAAAATTTTGGGCCAAGTGATAGGACTTGCATTTGAACAGGAGTCAGAGGAAAATTCGAGAAATTGAATACATATTTCTCCGGATTCTGTGGAAACGTCGAAAAAGTTTCAGATGGTTTCAAGCTTTTTGTTAGTCGTGAAGTAGTATCGTCACAACGCTTTTGTATGACACTAGATACGTAATCCTGGAATGTTTGTCGTTCATCATCAGATAGTTCATATAAAGCATGGGTTCTTTGTGATATGTTTGGCTCAAGTTCGGGTATGCGTGAGCGGATGGCGTCGATGTGATTCAGTGTGTGACGATTTAGTGTCTTTGAATTAGGGTAAATATGATTCCGGCGGAGATTCTTCCAGTAATGTTTTGGATACTAATGCTTATCAATGCATCGTTTAAGAAAAATAAGCTCCGTGTTGATTTCAGCAAACTTGAAGGAGAAACTCAGAAATTTGTCTAATTCCTTTATTGTCCCTGGGTATTTGGAGTTTTTCAATGAACAAAATATACCCATAATGAGTCATAATAAAAACCACAAACAGCGAAGAAAATATTCATATAGAAAATTTGGTCTCAAAATATGAAGAAGACATTCCCAATAGCCACTCTAAGTATAACATTCTCCTGCAGACAGTTAATCCAGTCTAACGTTAAGGACAAGATACCGCCTTCGGCCACTTCAATGTGTATTTATCAATTCACTTGCTCGTGTGGAGCAAAGTATATCGGCCGTACGCAACGTCAAGTCCACAAACGTATCCTGGAACACTGACCAGCTTGGTTAGCCAGAGGAGAAAAGAAGAATAGCAACAGCCCAATCCTCGAACACCTTGTTATCTCCGGACATCGAGCACCCCCACACGAATGCTTCACAGTGGTACACAGAGTCCCTCAATATCGTACAAAAGGACTGCGGATACGACATCTGTACATAGCTGAGGCATTAGCTATTCGAGACCTAAAACCGGACTTGTGCATACAAAAACGATACATACATTCTCTAGCCCTACCATGGCCAGAGTAAATTTCTCACTATAATTCTGCTCCTCTCTTTTAATATGTAAGTTCACTATTATTATTTTTATTATTATTACTATTCCCACCATCCACATTTTATTACTACTCTACTACTGTTTATTAATAACATTGCTTTTTCACACAGATCTTATACAAAACTACTGTATAACCTTTCCACTAGTTCCTGTCCTCTATACTATAGCTTATTGATTAGTCATTATCTCACACTTATTAGGTCATGCCAACTTCTGTCTCCTTTCTAACTTACAACTAGTCATCCCTTCTTACACCTCACACTATGTAGTAGAATTTTCAAGCACAAAGTTTACCAGTATCTGATTGGTCAAAAACTTATGTGTCTAATTATAATTACGATTGTACAGCTCATGAAAATGAGTCGTCGAAACGAAAGTTTTCTAAGCTCTTTGTCCCTTTTCCTATAAGTCAATATGGGAATATTTCGTTCAAATCCTTAAGGATTTTATATCTTCACTGTGAATGGTAATACCTTGTAATCTGGCGGAGTCAGAACTGCACTCTGAAGCAATAACTCCATGCTGTGACACTCTACTCAACAATGGCTGACCAGTTGCAACTACAGACTTCTTGACCGCACCGTTATCGTCACATAATTTGGAGTCAGGCCTGGAGTTTACATTTAGCTTATCACTGAACTTGCTCACTGGTTCACAGTTCACCTCTGTATGCACCTCTTGCAAACGTGTAAAACACAACCGTGTTTGTCTTGAATCTTGTAACTTATCTGTTGAGGATGTACTACGAAAGCTATTACACTCACTAGGTCTATATGCAATACTAGACACCATAGATCCTTCTCGATATCCACCTCTCTGAGGCCTATTCGTCATCAATGCTTGCGTTTTTCCCTCAGACTGCTCTATTCTAGGGGTGAGATGTAATAGACTGGCGAACTTGCTCATCGATTGATTGACACTATCTTTTACTAGTTTCAGGATATCATCAAACTTTGGCTCGATACCCTTATCCTCCATACGGGAGCTTATCTTCACCCACTTCCTTTGCAGTCGAGTAGGTAGGCGTCTCGCTATTACTTCTAGTATAAAACTCGAGTTGAGTTCATTCATGCAATTCATCGAAATCAAGGTATTCTTATAAGTCATAAGATTATCTAAAAACTCAGTAAGTGCCTGGGAGTCATCTTGTAATTGACCACCATTACCCTTAACAGCCTCGAATAATTTCCGTACAATCATCCAAGCTCTTCCAAACATTGGACGTAGTATGCTCATAGCCTCGTAGTGGCCCTGTTTCGGCCTCATATACTTACAGGACTGTATAGCCCTTGAAGCATCTCCAGGGCAGCACCTCATCAAATACATCTATTTCAATTCATCATTTAATAGAAAACTACTCAGCATGATCTCAAACTCCTTTATAAATTGTAAATAATCAGCCGGGTTTCCATCGAAACACCGTGGTTCAAATTTAGGGAGTTTGATGTTCCTATTATCCCTGGACAGCGAAACAGTAACATCAACCATGTCATTCTTAACATCAGACACATCGTTACAAGTAACAGACAAGTCACCATGACTTACTTTCCTGTTTGCATCCAAGACGCTCCGTCCCTTCTTTGACCCAGGCATTGTTGAACTTGACCCAATTCCAAAAAGTTCCAGATATTGCTTGTTCAAAGAGGACTTGACCGGCACCAGGAAAGATGAACGGTGACTATCCAAAGTCGTGCCAACTGTCCAAAGCCGTTTAAAAACTGACGTCGCAGCGGAAATTCTCAGAAACCGCCTTTCAAAAAGTCTGAAGAAGACATTCCCAATAGCCACTCTAAGTATAACATTCTCCTGCAGACAGTTAATCCAGTCTAACGTTAAGGACAAGATACCGCCTTTGGCCACTTCAATGTGTATTTATCAATTCACTTGCTCGTGTGGAGCAAAGTATATCGGCCGTACGCAACGTCAAGTCCACAAACGTATCCTGGAACACTGACCAGCTTGGTTAGCCAGAGGAGAAAAGAAGAATAGCAACAGCTCAACCCTCGAACACCTTGTTATCTCCGGACATCGAGCACCCCCACACGAATGCTTCACAGTGGTACACAGAGTCCCTCAATATCGTACAAAAGGACTGCGGATACGACATCTGTACATAGCTGAGGCATTAGCTATTCGAGACCTAAAACCGGACTTGTGCATACAAAAACGATACATACATTCTCTAGCCCTACCATGGCCAGAGTAAATTTCTCACTATAATTCTGCTCCTCTCTTTTAATATGTAAGTTCACTATTATTATTTTTATTATTATTACTATTCCCACCATCCACATTTTATTACTACTCTACTACTGTTTATTAATAACATTGCTTTTTCACACAGATCTTATACAAAACTACTGTATAACCTTTCCACTAGTTCCTGTCCTCTATACTATAGCTTATTGATTAGTCATTATCTCACACTTATTAGGTCATGCCAACTTCTGTCTCCTTTCTAACTTACAACTAGTCATCCCTTCTTACACCTCACACTATGTAGTAGAATTTTCAAGCACAAAGTTTACCAGTATCTGATTGGTCAAAAACTTATGTGTCTAATTATAATTACGATTGTACAGCTCATGAAAATGAGTCGTCGAAACGAAAGTTTTCTAAGCTCTTTGTCCCTTTTCCTATAAGTCAATATGGGAATATTTCGTTCAAATCCTTAAGGATTTTATATCTTCACTGTGATTAGTAATACCTTGTAATCTGGCGGAGTCAGAACTGCACTCTGAAGCAATAACTCCATGCTGTGACACTCTACTCAACAATGGCTGACCAGTTGCAACTACAGACTTCTTGACCGCACCGTTATCGTCACATAATTTGGAGTCAGGCCTGGAGTTTACATTTAGCTTATCACTGAACTTGCTCACTGGTTCACAGTTCACCTCTGTATGCACCTCTTGCAAACGTGTAAAACACAACCGTGTTTGTCTTGAATCTTGTAACTTATCTGTTGAGGATGTACTACGAAAGCTATTACACTCACTAGGTCTATATGCATTACTAGACATCATGAAGCCTTCTCGATATCCACCTCTCTGAGGCCTATTCGTCATCAATGCTTGCGTTTTTCCCTCAGACTGCTCTATTCTAGGGGTGAGATGTAATAGACTGGCGAACTTGCTCATCGATTGATTGACACTATCTTTTACTAGTTTCAGGATATCATCAAACTTTGGCTCGATACCCTTATCCTCCATACGGGAGCTTATCTTCACCCACTTCCTTTGCAGTCGAGTAGGTAGGCGTCTCGCTATTACTTCTAGTATAAAACTCGAGTTGAGTTCATTCATGCAATTCATCGAAATCAAGGTATTCTTATAAGTCATAAGATTATCTAAAAACTCAGTAAGTGCCTGGGAGTCATCTTGTAATTGACCACCATTACCCTTAACAGCCTCGAATAATTTCCGTACAATCATCCAAGCTCTTCCAAACATTGGACGTAGTATGCTCATAGCCTCGTAGTGGCCCTGTTTCGGCCTCATATACTTACAGGACTGTATAGCCCTTGAAGCATCTCCAGGGCAGCACCTCATCAAATACATCTATTTCAATTCATCATTTAATAGAAAACTACTCAGCATGATCTCAAACTCCTTTATAAATTGTAAATAATCAGCCGGGTTTCCATCGAAACACCGTGGTTCAAATTTAGGGAGTTTGATGTTCCTATTATCCCTGGACAGCGAAACAGTAACATCAACCATGTCATTCTTAACATCAGACACATCGTTACAAGTAACAGACAAGTCACCATGACTTACTTTCCTGTTTGCATCCAAGACGCTCCGTCCCTTCTTTGACCCAGGCATTGTTGAACTTGACCCAATTCCAAAAAGTTCCAGATATTGCTTGTTCAAAGAGGACTTGACCGGCACCAGGAAAGATGAACGGTGACTATCCAAAGTCGTGCCAACTGTCCAAAGCCGTTTAAAAACTGACGTCGCAGCGGAAATTCTCAGAAACCGCCTTTCAAAAAGTCTGAAGAAGACATTCCCAATAGCCACTCTAAGTATAACATTCTCCTGCAGACAGTTAATCCAGTCTAACGTTAAGGACAAGATACCGCCTTTGGCCACTTCAATGTGTATTTATCAATTCACTTGCTCGTGTGGAGCAAAGTATATCGGCCGTACGCAACGTCAAGTCCACAAACGTATCCTGGAACACTGACCAGCTTGGTTAGCCAGAGGAGAAAAGAAGAATAGCAACAGCTCAACCCTCGAACACCTTGTTATCTCCGGACATCGAGCACCCCCACACGAATGCTTCACAGTGGTACACAGAGTCCCTCAATATCGTACAAAAGGACTGCGGATACGACATCTGTACATAGCTGAGGCATTAGCTATTCGAGACCTAAAACCGGACTTGTGCATACAAAAACGATACATACATTCTCTAGCCCTACCATGGCCAGAGTAAATTTCTCACTATAATTCTGCTCCTCTCTTTTAATATGTAAGTTCACTATTATTATTTTTATTATTATTACTATTCCCACCATCCACATTTTATTACTACTCTACTACTGTTTATTAATAACATTGCTTTTTCACACAGATCTTATACAAAACTACTGTATAACCTTTCCACTAGTTCCTGTCCTCTATACTATAGCTTATTGATTAGTCATTATCTCACACTTATTAGGTCATGCCAACTTCTGTCTCCTTTCTAACTTACAACTAGTCATCCCTTCTTACACCTCACACTATGTAGTAGAATTTTCAAGCACAAAGTTTACCAGTATCTGATTGGTCAAAAACTTATGTGTCTAATTATAATTACGATTGTACAGCTCATGAAAATGAGTCGTCGAAACGAAAGTTTTCTAAGCTCTTTGTCCCTTTTCCTATAAGTCAATATGGGAATATTTCGTTCAAATCCTTAAGGATTTTATATCTTCACTGTGATTAGTAATACCTTGTAATCTGGCGGAGTCAGAACTGCACTCTGAAGCAATAACTCCATGCTGTGACACTCTACTCAACAATGGCTGACCAGTTGCAACTACAGACTTCTTGACCGCACCGTTATCGTCACATAATTTGGAGTCAGGCCTGGAGTTTACATTTAGCTTATCACTGAACTTGCTCACTGGTTCACAGTTCACCTCTGTATGCACCTCTTGCAAACGTGTAAAACACAACCGTGTTTGTCTTGAATCTTGTAACTTATCTGTTGAGGATGTACTACGAAAGCTATTACACTCACTAGGTCTATATGCATTACTAGACATCATGAAGCCTTCTCGATATCCACCTCTCTGAGGCCTATTCGTCATCAATGCTTGCGTTTTTCCCTCAGACTGCTCTATTCTAGGGGTGAGATGTAATAGACTGGCGAACTTGCTCATCGATTGATTGACACTATCTTTTACTAGTTTCAGGATATCATCAAACTTTGGCTCGATACCCTTATCCTCCATACGGGAGCTTATCTTCACCCACTTCCTTTGCAGTCGAGTAGGTAGGCGTCTCGCTATAACTTCTAGTATAAAACTCGAGTTGAGTTCATTCATGCAATTCATCGAAATCAAGGTATTCTTATAAGTCATAAGATTATCTAAAAACTCAGTAAGTGCCTGGGAGTCATCTTGTAATTGACCACCATTACCCTTAACAGCCTCGAATAATTTCCGTACAATCATCCAAGCTCTTCCAAACATTGGACGTAGTATGCTCATAGCCTCGTAGTGGCCCTGTTTCGGCCTCATATACTTACAGGACTGTATAGCCCTTGAAGCATCTCCAGGGCAGCACCTCATCAAATACATCTATTTCAATTCATCATTTAATAGAAAACTAC